AAGCTGCACCAGACACCGTCTCTCTGCCCTGACTACTTACTGCATTTGGCAGTGCACCCTCCCCCAGCCCTCTCTGTCCCTCTTAGCACAGGGCACTGATATAACTCACTCTCAGCTTGTTTCTATGTCTCCCCGTCCCCACTGGAATGTTGGCTCCACAGACAGGGAACTTTGTCTGTTTTGGCCTCTGCTCTGTCCCCGGCATCCAGGACAGCGCGAACACAGCAAGCACTCACGAAATACAGACAGATGCCTCTTGGCTCACCATAGGCTCAACACATCCCACAGACCCAGTAAGATAAAAAGATCCTAAGTCGAAAACGCACTGAACGCACCTAACCTAGTGAACATCACGGCTTAGCCAGCCTGCTTTAAACATGCTCAGAAACCGGCATTAGCCTCCGTCCAGGTGTGAGTCATCTCACGCACAGCCTGGTGCATCACAGGGGCTGACTGGTTCGGTCATTCACTGAATGCTGTCTGAGGCGAGAAGCAGTGGGTGTGGGTCCTGCAGGTACGCTTTCTACCCAGTGTACGTGGATTCACGCCGGTGTAGTCACACGGTCCCAGGTCGGAAGTTGGCGATCTCCTGCATCCGTTGACTTGCAGCTCCCACCCACTGTCTCTGGGCTGCCATGCTCTTCTTCCAGTTCTTTTTTATTTTATTATTATTTTTGAGACAGAGTCTCACTCTGTCCCCCAGGCTGGAGTGCAATGGTGCAATCTTGGCTCACTGCAACCTCCGCCTCCCGGGTTCAAGCAATTCTCCTGCCTCAGCCTCTCAAGTAGCTGGGATTACAAGCATCCTCCACCACGCCTGCCTAATTTTTTGTATTTAGTAAAGACAGGGTTTCACCATGTTCAGGCTGGTCTCGAACTCCTGACCTCAGGTGACCCACCCACCTAGGCCTCCCAAAGTGCTGGGATTATAGGCGTGAGCCACCGAGCCTGGCCCTCTTCTTCCAGGTCTGACGTTTGAAGATTCCATCCTTGGGGGGGGTCTGACATCTCTAAGCCTGAGCCATTCGCCCTGCCCGTCCCACCAGATACTCTCAGGAGATTGACAGGCAGCACATCAGGGAGTCTCTTCCATCAACCATGGACTAAGGAATTGAGAACTTTTCTGCCCCACCTTGCAACTCCAGAGGAATAAAGGGGAGAGGAGGAAGGCCACCTCTGTCCTGGTCCCCACCCACCGCCTTCCCTTCTGCTGGCAGGAACAGGGAAGCTGCAGCTGAGACGCTGCCTCCTGCCCCTCCCTCCCAGCAGGCTCTGAGACCAGGCAGCGGGGAGACAAGCAGACACGGGACTCCACCCGGTCCCACAGCCAGGGGGCACACAGAAGGGGACAGAAAATGCCAAAGCCCCAGTAGGTTGGGGGTGAAGCGTCCCCACGGGGGCTCCCCTGTGCTGCCGCGGTAGTTAATTCAGAGCTTCCCTCACCCCCTGTCCAACCTGGCCAAGCCACCCTTGGCTCCCACACTCCCACTGCTCACATGGGCCTCATGTGCTGGCATTTGAGGAAAGGGACTTATTCCCTATAGAAGTGCTGGGTCCTTTCCAGGGGCCACTGAGTCCTCTGGGCTGTGCCTCGGGCTGCCCACAGGGTTTGTATTATGCTGACATGCCTCTGACCTCCAAGGCTGGGATGTGGAAGACCTCAAAAGAGAGGATGGGGCCTCAAGAGGTTAGGAGCGTGGAACCCCAAGCAGCAGCAGGCCGGGCTGCCAGGCCGGGGAGGACATGGGACCCCCTTGTGCTCCTCCCCAGGGCAGCGAGCCTTGTCCGATAACGCTTCTTGTAACAAAAAGTCCACAGCCTCCCTTCCTGTGCAGAAATCAGGTTCACTGATAATATAAACTACTCTGCACGTAGTCCGGATAAAGCCCTATGTGTAATATAAAAAGGAACAGAAAAACAGTCCATAATAATATAGAGATTTCAATATGACACCCTCTTTGGAGGGATGGTGGTGCCTGCTGGGAACTAATGGGGTGGGGATTGCTCCCTGGCTTGTCACCGCTGTAGAGTCCTCTGGCTTCCCTGCTGGGGAACAGGGACTGGGCCATGCTTACCACTGCCTCTCCACTGCCTAGCACCAAGTCCAGCGCATAGTAGGTGCTCAGTAAGTATTTTGTGGAGGGATGGATGAATGACTGAATGATAGATTCAGTCCCGGGTGAGATGTGCAGATGGTGTTGTGGGTGACACGAGTTTGTGACCCAGCTCTTGTGAGGCCGCAGCGGCACCTGGCGGGCAGGTGGCGGCAGACACGTGTGCACTCACTCTGTTGGCATCTCTGCCTCTCCCAGCTCCCTGCACGCTTCTCCCGGGGCTGCTCTCATCTTCTCTGTCCCCCTCGGCGCCCCGCTCAGCGTCTGGCACAGAGTGGGTGCTCAATAAATACCCGTTGAATGTAACGCATTTCAATTCAACAGACATTTATTGAGTGCCCACTGTGTTGAATGTCACAATCCTACCTTCCTTGGGTGCCACGGATGGGCGACCCGAGGCACGGGGGCCGGCCTTGCTGTGTGCAAATGCTCTGTTCAGTGAACGCTGTATGCAAATGGAACTGGTGCGCATGGACTCAGGTCTGGGGCTACTTGGTGAGAATCAAATGAACCCCGAGAGAAAAGAGTGGCTGGCTCTCCATCTCCGTGTGCTCCCCTTCCCTCCTGGATTCCTCACCTGATCCAGGCACAGCTGGCAGCCTGGGTCCTGGCTGCCATTTCCATGCAAATCGGGAAACAAGGCAATGGCATGGAGATGGAAATAAAGGCACAATCAGAATGGTTAGACACAGCGGGTTTCCTGCTCAAAACACCAGGAGAAAGTGCAGGAAGGACAGCAGCACAGCCACATCCTCGTAAGCAGGCATGGCAAGGGGAAGACACACGTCTTTGCTGGAGCACAGTCCCCCTGGGGAATTCGTGAGTCCAGCACGGGCCATAGGAGTCCTGCAGACCCAGCACGCCAGGACGGAGGCCGCTGCGTCCCACATGGGTCTGCATAGGCAGCCTGGAAGGAGAATGTGACGGCAAGGGGCAGGGCTGACACAGGCCCTGGCCACTGAGTGACCAGCCCACCCCCACACTGCCATGGCTTCCGGGCCTCGAAGGGCCTGCCCCCCGCCAGGCTTGTGAGCTCCTGGATCAACTCCAGGGCACCTACGTTCCGGCATTTTTAAACGAGGAAGTGGTGTATGAGGTGAAGGCCACATGTGCAGGTCACACAGCCTTTCAGGGGCCCAGGGGGCCCGGGGGGCAGCCTGGCTCTAGACTAGCTTCTCCCACACAGCACCCCTCCTCCCTCAGTCCTGAGCCACAGGCAGGCCACAAACATCAGTGGGATTCTGGCCTCCCTGAAGAGTCTGAGGGGAGGTCATGAGTGTGGCCCCAGCCTTGCAGAGTCCTGCCGGCCACTTGGATGGGAGGACTGAATGCTGAATGATGCCACCTTGAGATCCCCAAACACTGATTTCCTGGTTCCCAGGGCCAGGGCCAACGCCTTGATGCCGGGACACTGAGCAAGGTGGGGAGGGTGCTGGGGAAGCTGCTGAGCTGGTGTTTAAGAGGAGCTCCCCTTACAAACACCACTGCATCAGGACACACGAGTGCAGGGCAGAGGGGCCACAAGCCAGGCCAATGTTTCCTGGCCTGCAGGCAAGCGCTGTACCAGCCAGGGGCAGGGATTCCTAGGACCCAAGAGAGAGGGACCGGGGGACTGGCAGGCAGCTGCCAGCGGGCACAGGCAGGCATATGTGGACCAGCCCCGTAGCCCCCTTGCCCTGCCTGCAGATGAAACAGGCAGTTCCTCCGGAAGGAACAGGCTGCAGTCTGGGGCGAGCACTCTCTCTCTGGGGGATTTTTTTGGGGGTGGTTTTCCTATGGCGACATCAGCCTTGTGCCCAGCCTCTGGGATCCTGATATTTACAAAGCTGCACCCCAGGAGGGGACAGAGGCCCGAGGGGTACACAGACACCTGCTTACAGAGATCACACGCAAGCAACACACCTTTCTTTGTTTAAAGTTATTCTTTAACGTATTATCATCTCTAAGTTTCTGCATCACACTGAAACACTTTTCTACTTAAGTTGTTGAGTAAGATGGTTTACAGTTTCCAGGCATGAAGATGAGGATGAGGATGAGAAGCAGCTTCCATTTACTGAGCATCTACTATGGCTGGCTGAGTGCCACACATGTACCCAGTTCCACCCGGCCCTGTCACACAGCTGGTCAGTGGTGAGCTCGAATTTGAACTTGGGTCTGCCTCACTGCAAAGCCAGGTCTTTCTTCTGCTCTCACGCCTCCCGGTCCCTGCTTCCAAGCTGAGCCCAAACCCCGCCCACAGAAAACTGCCCCCCGCCCAGCTGAGACCCTTTGCGAGGCGCTGAGTGAGCCTGGCTGCACTTGCTACTGGTTTTCACCTATGAGTTACAGCGGCTGGAAGCAAAAAGCATGATCTGGAGTTTTCTGTACATTTGAAAATCACCCCCATTCAGTCTTCATAACACCCCTAGGGTCAGGCAGATGCCATCCCTGTCTCCCTGTGAGGCCTGAGGCCATGCCTTGTTCAGGATGAGTCACAGGGGACAGGGACGGTGCTCTGTCACCAACTCCAAGTCTGCACACATCAGCCGGACCATGCCCACGTCTGCTCTGGAGGGAATAGGCCCCGACTCCCACCCGTCAGCCCGGATGCCTTTCTCCTGAACAGCCTGGGAGCAGATCTGGCTTTCTGCATTCTCGCAGGACCCAGAGAGCCGTGAGGGGACATGCAGGCGTGGCCCCTGCTAGCACACTGGCTCGGGGACGGCCAAATCGGCAAACTGCAAGGGCCCCATTTTCCATCTAGTCGGCGCTTAGGTTTGCTGGCTTGCTCTTATGTTTTTTAACAGGCAAGGCTTAGATTTGGGGGGACTGCTCTGAGTGACAGGGCCCCTTTGCTGCAAGGCCCTTTGTGCACATCACAGCTTCTTCTTCAAAAGAACCACTCACGTGCGTGAAAGCTGTCCCCTGGTGTCCGGTGGAGAGGGTCTCTGTCGGGCCCGCTGCTGTGGGACAAGGACTGGCTGTCCAGGTCTGGAGAGCTGGTCCTCGTGTCTGACTCCCCCTTGAGCATCAGCCAGCTGCTCTTCTGCTGAAGGGAAAAACAGAGTCACCTGGATTTCGAGGCTGTCGGCAGTGGTGGAAACATCTCACTGGATCTTTCTTGTAGCTTATTTCCTTTTATTTTTTTGAGACGGAGTTTCGCTCTTGTTGCCCAGGCTGGAGTGCAGTGGTGTGACCTCTGCAACCTCCACCTCCCAGGTTCAAGCGATTCTCCTGCCTCAGGCTCCTGAGTAGCTGGGACTACAGGCGCGGGCCACCACGCCAGGCTAATTTTTATATTTTTGGTAGAGACGGAGTTTCACCATGTTGGCCAGGATGATCTTGATCTCTTGACCTTGTGATCCACCCACACTGGCCTCCCAAAGTGCTGGGATTACAGGTGTGAGACACCGCGCCTGGCCAGATTCCTTGCTTTTAACCTATGAGCTGACCCCACTGTGAGAAAACTCAATATGTGAGAAACGTAGCTTTCAATAAACGCTGTACAGGTACATGGAGCATCCGGGGGAAAGGGAGCTGCCCCATCTTATGGACACAGCCATCCAGGCTCTGGGGGGCCAGGGACCTGCGGGGGGATCCACATGGGAAGAACGAGGGAGGTTGCCAAGTCCAGCCTTGGGCTCTTCCCACACACAGCCCTGCTTTCCGGCGATAGCACAGGTGAAGGGAGCCAGGGAGGCTGAACGCAGCCCCAGCGCCACGCCCAGCGCACAGCCTGCTTTTGCAACGCGCATGTTGTTGGAACACGGAGATGCCGGTTCACGTCTCGGCTCTGGCTGTCCTCACACAGTTCGGTGGCTACACTGGAGATGGTGCAGCCCACAAAGCCAGGAGTATTTACTCTCTGGCCCTTTATGAAAAACACCTGCTGAGCCTGTTCTAGACTAGTGGATGCCCCAGGGATACACTCTGGTTTATTTCCCTTTCATGACACACATCTCTTGAGTCACAGAACCATAATGAAGTCACACGGGCACATAACCAAGACCCTAGTAGAAGGTGTATGCGTCCTAAATGCAGGAAGGAAACTGATGAAAGGGCCTCTTGCTTTTGGCCTCGCAGGGCCCCTGAGGAACAGAATGTAAGAGAAAGATTCTGAAGCTCCCCTTGGAGAAGCCCCACACAACCGCTTTCCTTCTGAGCGAGGCTGTTCTAAGCCAGCTGTCCCCTGGCATTACCTTCCTGTTATCCTGGTCGAAGCTTCCCTCCTCCCCATCGGATCGCCTCGCAGCTGGAAGGGAAAGATCAATTTGTAAAGGCAACACACCATTTATTGAGGGTTTCCACATCACAATTTCCCATGTTACAGTTATGCTCGAGAATGAGAAATCAATCAAAGAGGAGGTCAGTTGTACGAGTGCCTTTCAAGGGGCAAGGAACAGGGTGAGCTGGACGAGGCCCCCAGAGAACCTGCCCGGGGAGCAACAGCAGCAGGGGTGTGAAGTGAGGCCCGATTTCAGTTCCAGCCAAACACCCACACAGAGCAGAGCCACGTTTGCAGATGCAGCCACGTGGCCTTTGATTTTGCTTTGTTTTGTTTTTGAGATGGAGTCCCGCTCTGTTGTCACCCAGGCTGGAGTGCAGTGGTGCAATCTCAGCTCACTGCAATGTCCCCCTCCCGGGTTCAAGCGATTCTCTTGCCTCAGCTACCCAGGGAAGCTGGGTTACAGGTGTGCGCCACCACACCAGGCTAAGTTTTGTATTTCTGGTAGAGACAGGGTTTTGCCATGTTGGCCAGGCTGGTCTTGAACTCTTTTTTTTTAATTATTATTTTTTTAAAGTAGTGATGATTAAAAAAGCTTAGGAGGTAATACTTATAGTATATGGCCATAGAAATTATAATATTAGATTGAAAATAACACCTTTTAGAAAAAATTTTAAATGCTGTGGTTTCCAAAGCAAAATGAAGATTTCTTTTCTTTTTCAAAAAAATAAAAATAAAAAATAAACCATGCTATCTCTCCCCAACTCCCCACCCCCCGCTGTCCCTCCCCTATTTCCCCCCAACAGACCCGGTCTTCAATTCTTGACCAAGTTCTCAAGTAATCCACGTGCCTCAGCCTCCCAAAGTGCTAGGATTACAGGCTTGAGACACCATGCCCGGCCCACTTGGCCTTTTGAGAACATGCATTTTAAAAACCTCCCACCTAACACAAAGTCTCAGTCGTGGAGGTCAACGTGTCTGACCTGGGCGAGGGGCTCTGCATACACCAATGCCTACCACACCCACTCCCCCAGGAAGGGACTTCACACCGTTTCACAGATCAAGAGACTGAGGCTCAGGGACGTGGTATGCCTCACACAAGGTCACGGATGCGTGGGCACCAGAGGCAGACATGAGCCAGGCCTTCTGAGTCCGAAGTCCTTCCCTGTCTGCCCCACCTGGCTAATTGCTGCTGGCAAACTGCAAAATGGTGACGAGGTCTGCTACTGGAAGACATTCACGAAGAGCGGTCAGGAAATGACAAAATTACGAAACGCAAGCAAAAATGGACTCAATGAACTAGAACAAGCAAAAGTCCATTTCGCAACAGTCCCTTTACCAAGGGTACTCTCCGGAGCTGAGTAATGAAGCATCTGGATTTTCCATTGGCCTTTTTTTTGGGAGGTTGTCACCCAGCTGGGCTGACATCTCCAGCCAAGAATGAGCAAATAAATCACACAAGGCCATGCTGACGTTCTCGGCATCCAATTTAGTAGGTGAAGCCCCACACCTTCTGTATCCCGTACAGAAACACTGACCCCATGCACTGAACAATTACACAAAAACCCTTCTCGGTCCCCAGCCCACCACGAAGACCCAGGCCTCAGGAAGGACACGCCGAGGTGGGCTTCTTACCTGCAGCAGGCAGCAGGCTCAGGCCCGTCTGTCTTTTGGCGTACCCTGCCTCCTGCACCACCAAGGACAAGACTGATACCAGGCCAGAGAGCTTGGAAATTTGGGATTGGACTACAGGACCTTGACAAGATAAGGCCAAAATTGAAGACTGAGCAGTTCCGTTCCGAATACACTGACATCTCGTTATTCTCAACGGCTACCTGTTTCTCCTTCTTCCAGGAGAGACAGTGATTTTCAGCATGAAAATACAAAGCCCTGCTCTCCCCACTCACAGAGGCAAATCAACGCCCAGCCTGCTCAAGAAGCGTTTAATGGAGAGGCAGAGGGGGCAGGGAGCTCTGGGGGACGCATGCCCACAGCTGGACTCTCCTGTTGCCCAGACAACGGCCGTCGCCCGGCAGCGGAGCCCTTGAGTGTGCGGCCATGCATCAGTCATGACTCTTGGCAGCTGCCCAGCAAGTCCCAGGGACAAGGCAGGCCAGGGACTACTTGGAGTTCTAAGAGCATAGCCATCGTCCAAGCCAGAGAAGCCCCTGGGGCTGAGTCGGCTGGCAAAAGTAAGTGCACCATTTCCTGAAAAGCCAGGAGGCCGGAAAGTGGATCACCAACTTGGAGTAATCTGCACGTGCATGGATAATATAAAGTCGCTCCAGCTGAAGGGCCCTTGGGGACATGAAATCCCAGCCCTTGGAATTCAGGCCTGGGGGCCCAGAGGCCACCCTGGCTTCAAGGACTTCCTGCAGCCATGGAAGACGGTTGACCAGATACATTCTGGCTGGAGAGTCATCTCAGGTCTTAAGAACAGCCCCTGCCATCTGAGGGAGGGATATTCTCCCAAGATTTAGCAAGTTTCCTTTGCAAACACTGCCAGCTCCTCCAGATGTGCACAGTTTAACCAGACCTGTACCAAGGACTTTTTGAAAACCAGTTTGCAAGCCCACAAAACAGACGACCAAGTCTCTCGAGAACTAGGAGCCTGGGTAGGAAAAGATAGAAAACTGGCACTTTGGATTATTGGTGGCTTGCTCCCATAACAGCTCTGAGCCTCAGTTTCCTCATCTGTAAAATGGGCCAAGGATGCCTACCCCTCCAAGTTGTGCGGGTCACATGAGATAACCCGCATGAATTTGGGGACGTAATGGAAAACTCAGCTTACAGGTTTGAAATATTAGGGATAAACAAGAGGCCAACGTTGAGGCTGATTTGTACACGCTGCTTTGGGAGGTCAGAGAAAGATCAGTTCAGGACAATCACAGAAAGAGAGTTTAAAATGTCTCTTGCATCACACAGGAGCTCCTCCTGAGTTCTGGAATGCATTTGTCATGAGGCACCCTCTTGGGAAAGGCTTTCTATTCCCTGTACTCCTTGGGATAACTTTGGTTGGTGGCGTCTGAATGAAAGTAAGAGGTCTCGAATTATTTTTCTGTGTACAGGACTGGCCTGCTTTTCCTCCTTCCCAAACCCCATCTTATAATTCATTCATATGTGAACATCCATGCCAGCCTGTGTGCATCCCTTACCCCTTTATTCCTTTCCACACACGCTTATCTATTCATCCATCTACCCATCCACCCATCTGCCCATACATCCATGCATCTACCCACCCATTCACCCACCCATCCACCCATCTATCCATCAACCAATCATCCATCCATCCATCCACCCATCCATCCATCCATCATCCACCCATCCATCCATCCACCATCCATCCATCTATCCATCCATCAACCCATCATCCAACCATCCACCCATCCCTCAACCCATCTTTCATCCATCCATTCATTCATCCATCCACCCATCTACCCACCCATCCATCCACCCATCCACCCACCCATCCATCCACCCATCCATCCATCCATCCACCCACCCATCCATCCACCCATCCATCCACCTATCCACTCATCTGTTCATCTATCTACCCACCCATCAATCCATCTACCCACCCATCCATTCACCCATCCTTCACCCATCCATCCATCCTCCCATCTACCATCTATTCATCTATCCATCCATCAATCCATCTACCCCATTCATCCACCCATCCACTCATCTATTCATCTATCTACCCATCCATGTGCCCCCATCCACCCATCTGCCCATTCATCCATCCATCCATCCACCCACCCATCTATCCATCTACCCATCCATCCACCTATCCTTCATCCATCCATCCACCCACCCAACCACCCATCTATTAATATATCTACCCATCCATCCATCCACCCATCTGTCCATCCATCCATCCATCCACCCACCCCCCCATCCACCCCACCACCCATCCATCTACCCATCGATCCATCCATCCTTCACTCACCCAACCATCCATCCACCCAGCCACCCAACCATCCATTTACCCATCCATCCACCCACCATGTATCCATCTATCCATCCACTTGTGCATCCGCTATTTTTATATTTATTTATCCAGCTAATCCACTCATTCACCTACTCACCCACCCACCCACCCACCCATCCATCCACCCACTTACCCAAGCATTCACCCGTCCCTCTCTTTGTCCACTTCATTTCTTTGCTCACTGATGCATCCATTCATCCATGTAGCCCTTAATGCATGGATCAGTCCATCTACCCTCTGTTCACCCTTAGCCCCTCAACCTTGTCCCCCTCTCCTTGTCCCAAGTGCCTACTGTGCACTGTACTGTTTTAAGAATGGGGAATGCCAAAAAAACTGAGACATGACCCTTGTCTTTAGAAGCTCACAGGCCAGTGAAGTGGAGGCAGAGGTGGATGAGGTTTCTGTACATAACAAGAGCTTTGATGAAAGTAGCAAAGTCAACACAAAGGTGCATTCCTGAGAACATATATGTGGTAAGTACTTACTGAATACCTACTCATTGGATAAACCCTGTATTGTGGTCTGGATAAACTTTTCTTTTTTGAGATAGAGTCTCACTCTGTCGCTCAGGCTGAAGTGCAATGGTGCAATCTCGGCTCACTGCAACCTCTGCCTCCCGGGTTCATGCGATTTTCCTGCCGTGGCCTCCTGAGTAGCTGGGATTACAGGTGCTTGCCACCAAGTCTGGCTAATTTTTTGCATTTTTAGTTGAGATGGCATTTTGCCATGTTGGTCAGCTGGTCTTGAGTCTTTTTTTTTTTTTTGAGACGGAGTTTCGCTCTTGTTACCCAGGCTGGAGTGCAATGGCGCGATCTCGGCTCACCGCAACCTCCGTCTCCTGGGTTCAGGCAATTCTCCTGCCTCAGCCTCCTGAGTAGCTGGGATTACAAGCACGCGCCACCACGCCCAGCTAATTTTTTGTATTTTTAGTAGAGACGGGGTTTCACCATGTTGACCAGGATGGTCTCGATCTCTTGACCTCGTGATCCACCCGCCTCGGCCTCCCAAAGTGCTGGGATTACAGGCTTGAGCCACCGCGCCCGGCCCGGTCAGCTGGTCTTGAACTCCTGACCTCAGATGATTCACCGCCTTGGCCTCCCAAAGTGCTGGGATTACAGTCTGTGCCCAGCACTTGGGTAAACATTTTTAAAGCATGTTAACAGATAATAATAGATGCTATGAACCTCATACAGATGAGGAGACCGAGGTCCGGAGTCTAAGGTCACACAGATGGTAATCAGAACCTTGTCTGTCTCTGACCCTGAAGCCAGAGTCCTCCATGTCAGACGTGTAAATTTTGAGACTTAGGGCTGCATCACCAACCACTTTGCTTCCTGTGACTTGTACAAATCTGCTTCCCCACAAAGCAGCTGAAGAGAGATGCTTTGAGGGCAAGGGCTGCATCTGATAAGCCTCTGAGCTCCCTTTGGTGACCGAAGTGCCAATCTGCAGCCTCAGGTGCACACAGGAAGTGAGTCAGATGGACACGGCACACGGGCCCCGTGTTTCCAAGGGAGGGCCCTGCCAGCTCCCTCTTTGCCGGCATCAACACAGCAACAGCCCTAACCTCCAAGGATCTCTTGCCAGTGTGCAGGGACCAGCAGAGGTGGGGGCTGTTCCACCACTGTGCCGGGGGTGCCAGCCAAGGCTCTGCCACCAGAAGGTGGTCTCTGCCGTACTCCTCACCAGACTTTCCTCTGCCTCCAGTGCAGAATCATTCCTGAGAATGTCCACACGAGCCTGAGGCAAGTCCGGGACTTCCGGGACTCCAGCAGCCAGGAGCCAGGGCCGGCACCAACAGGCGCTCTCTCCGACAAGGGAAGGAGCTGATAGCAACTGGGGAAGGTGCTCGGGGCTTCATCCCTTTGGCTAGAGAGAGACGTCCTCTCTGCTGCTGGGACTTTGAATGGCTTTGCAGGAGGTTTTGAGGATTTGTCCCCTCCTATGTCCTCCAGACTCAGCCTCTAAGGAGTAGACTCATCAACAGGATTTTTTCTATTCTCAGAATGATCTCTATCTCTACAATTCACAGTGAATTGGAATGACATTGAGAGGAGGGGAGAGAGAGAACGTGTGTGTATGTGAGAGATCAAGTGTGTGGGCGGTGCCCAGAGCATGTGCGCTGGCAACTAGAAACCTCGCTCAGCCTCTCACCTGTCTGGCCGTGGGCAAATCCACTAGAAGCTCAGCTCCAGGGGTCAGGGGGAATGCAGGGTCACCCATGTATCCCCAGCACTGGGACAGAGCCTAGTACACAGTGGGTGGGTGCTTGAAAAACATCCCCTGGATAAATTAATGAAAGTCACTCCAATCTCTCCATACTGGGCTTTCTCCTCTCTTGAGTCAGAATAAGAACCTCTGCTCTCTGGTTGATGTCAGGATGGAAAAAGACTCCAGACGACGAGGAAAGTGGGCCTGGAGTCTCCGCCCCAGCCAATGCCTTTGCATCCCTCTCTCCTCCTTCCGGCCTCCCTCCCTTCCACCTTTCTTTATTTCTTTGTGTATTTTTTTTTTTGAGATGAAGTCTCGATCTGCTGCCCAGGCCAGAGTGCAATGGTGCTATCTTGGCTCACTACAACCTCTGCCCCCCGGGTTTAAGCAATTTACGTACCTCAGCCTCCCGAGTATCTGGGACTACAGGCACCTACCACCCCACCCAGCTGATTTTTTGGTAGAGACAGGGTTTCTACAAAACCGAAACAAGCCTCCACCATTTGGGGCCAAAAAGGACTCCAAACCAACATGAAACTCAACCCCTCTAGAATCTGGAATCCCAGAGAGACACAACAAAGACTGATTAATTCCTGCTCTAAGGGCGCAAAGACATTGGGAATAGCACGTGCCCCGTGGTGTGGCTTCCACTGCTGGCTTCCGGTGGGCAGGAGTGACAGCCCCCACCTGCTGGGCATGCGTGTGTGTTGGGGGTGAGGAGAGAGCCACATTGCCATCTGGTGGCTCAGGATTGCTTAGAAATGAAACAGCAAATCTGTTAACTGTTGAGGACTGTCCCTGCATCTGGAGAGTTGAACTGACTGGGAAATGCTGGGGAGCCATCATTTTTCCCCTCGTGAATTTGGTCTATTTAATTAATCAATTAATTAATTTTTTTTGAGACGGGTTTCACTCTGTTGCCCAGGCTGGAGTGCAGTGGCACAATATTGGCTCGCTGCAACCTCTGCCTCCTGGGTTCAAGCGATTCTCCTGCCTCAGCCTCTTGCGTAACTGGGATTACCGGCATGTTCCACCACACCCGGCTAATTTTGTATTTTTAGTAGAGACTGGGTTTCACCATGTTGGCCAGGCTGGTCTTGAACTCCTGACCTCAGGTGATCCACCTGCCTTGGCCTCCAAAGTGCTGGATTCATAGCTGTAAGTCACTGCGCCTGGCTCCGCTTTGCTTTTTTATTTTCTATTCATTTCCTTTTACTTCCTTTCTCTGTTTAAAGAAGCCAATAAATAGTAGCCATGCAGTGAGGCTACAGTGGTGTAACAGTGTGCTGTGGGGCCCCGAAGGCTGCCAAAGGGCAGTGCAGGTCAGGGGTCAGGGGTCAGGGGCCAGGCAGGCAGGTGTGGACGCCAGCTTGGCCAATGCCAGGTGATGTTCCCACCCAGCCTCAGCCTCCTCACCTGCACCAGCAGCAGCCTCAGAGGTGTCCAGGTGAGAGGTGAGGTCCTCTAATGAGGGCCCAGTATGTGGTGTTCACACACTGCGTGGCAGCTCCTCAAACACCAGACATCTTCAGCATCAAGTGTCACCCCTGCGCCCTGAAGGCCTGACCACTCTCATGCTGAGAGGCTCAGTTCCCTAAAGCAGGAATCCTGGGGTTCGGGCATCAGAAAAATGCAGTGCTAACTTTAAAAACTTTCAATGAGCTCGAAATAGACAGTTGAAAGTAACTACATTAATGAAATGGATTGATTTTTTTTTTTTTTTTTTGAGACAGAGTCTTGCTCTGTCACCCAGGCTGGAGTACAGTGGGATGATCTTGGCTCACTGAAACCTCTGCTTCCTGGTAAAGCAACATGGTGAAACCCGGCCTCTACCCCTGCCTCCTGGGTTCAAGCGGTTCTCCTGCCTCAGCCTCCTGAGTAGCTGGGACTGCAGACACCAGCCATCCTGCCCAGGTAATTTTTGTAGAGACGGAGTTTCACCATGTTGGCCAGGCTGGTCTCAAATTCTTGACCTCAGGTGATCTGCCTGCCTCGGCCTCCCAAAGTGCTGGGATTACAGGTATGAGTCACTGCACCCGGCCAAAAGGCTTGATTTTTAAATCTTGTTGAATTAACATTATCTTAAGCTAATTAAACGAATGTCTTAAACTAATTAAACACTCCAGTCATTCAGTATCATTATTCAGAGTTTGTTTCAAGAAAGCCTGAAAATTAATACAAAGGCTGCTCAAGCCTGATTCATTCCTCTCTCCCTCTGATGAGAACGGACGCTGGTTTGCACAGATGGGGCCAGGGGCCTGTAGGTGGGTCTTACACACGCACACATGCATATGCACATACTTGGGCATGCATGGGCACACTTTTGACAGAATACATTCTACCTGGACAGGAGAATATCCAGTAAAAGAACTCTTAAATGTGTATATTGGAAATCAATTCATGCCCAATTACATACAATTTGCACTGTCCATTTACTTTCTTTCTTTCTTTCTGAGACAGAATCTTGCTTTGGCACCCAGGCTGGAGGACAGTGGCACGATCTTGGCTCATCGCAGTTTTGACCTCCTGGGCTCAAGTGATCCTCCCACCTCAGGCTCCCGATGAGCTGGGACCACAGGTACATGCCACCACACCCAGCGAATTTTTTATATTTTTAGTGAAGATAGGGGCCGGGCGCGGTGGCTCACACCTGTAATCCCAGCACTTTGGGAGGCCGAGGCTGGCGGATCACAAGGTCAGGAGATCGAGACCATCCTGGCCAACATAGTAAAACCCCATATCCACTAAAAATACAAAAAGTAGCTGGGCATGGTGGTGTGCGCCTGTAGTCCCAGCTACTCAGGAGGCTGAGACAGAAGAATTGCTTGAACCCGGGAGGTGGAGGTTGCAATGAGCCAAGATCATGCCACTATACTCCAGCCTGGCCTACAGAGACTCTGTCTCAAAATAAACAAACAAATAAAAATTAATTAATTCATTCATTCATTAAGATGGGGTTTCTACATGTTGCCCAGGCTGGTTTCAGACTCCTGAGCTCAAGTGATCCACCCACCTCGGCCTCCCAGCATGCTGGAATTACAGGTGTGAAGCACTGCACCAGGCCCCATTTACCTTCAAGTCTGGGACAGATTTTACTCATGTTTGTCCCCAGAATGTGGCCAAGTGCTTGGCAGGGAGCAGGTGCTCTATCCAATCTAGTTCTTAAAAAAACTAATATAGCAAATTTTTTTTTTGAGATGGCATCTCACTCTGGCACCCAGACTGGGGCGCAGTGGCATTATTTTGGCTCACTGCAACCAACCTCTGCCTCCCGGGTTCAAGCAATTCTCCTGCCTCAGCCTCCAGAGTAGCTGGGACTACAGGTCCATGCTGCTGCACCTGGCTATTTTGTTTGTTTGTTTTTCTGTATTTTAGTAGAGAGGGGGTTTCACCATGTTGCTCAGGCTGGTCTCAAATGCCTGGGCTCAAGCAAACCACCGGCCTTGGCCTCCAAAAGTGCTAGCATTACATGCGTGGGCCACTGCGCTTGGCCTATAGCAAAATTTTGAAAGGATAAAAGAGTTTTCGTAATTGCTTGGGGTTTAATCAAAGAGGAGTTAACTTGCCTTTGGATAGGAGAGTCATCTGTAGCCAGATTTTTAAAATGCACAAAGACGATCACTGGAGACGGTAAAATCTCCTCGCTCCAGCGATGGTTCGGTTAAGGGACTGAGGGCCAAGTTCTGTCTTAGATCTGGGTCTGTTGGATGGCAATGAGCAATTTCATAACCTGGTTTGCTTTCTTCCCCTTTCTTTCTTTCTTTTTTTTTTTTTTGAGTCAGAGTCTTGCTCTTTTGCCAGGCTGGAGTGCAGTGGCACAATCTCGGCCGACTGCAACCTCCATCTCCCGGATTCAAGTGATTCCCCTGCCTCAGCCTCCTGAGTAGCTGGGACTACAGGCGAATGCCACCACACCCAGCTAATTTTTTGTATTTTAGTAGAGACGGGATTTCACCATGGCCAGGATGGTCTCGATCTCCTGACCTCATGATCCGCCCGCCTCAGCCTCCCAAAGTGTTGGGATTACAGGCGTGAGCCATGCGCCCGGCCTGCTCTCTTCCCCTTTCTAAGGGGCAGACCCCCTCCTGTCCTGCACATGTGAGCCACACATTTTAAGGCGCCACTCGGAGGCAAAGTGGGGTTGGGTTAACAAAAGGCCACAGTAGTCAATCCCAATCTGTGCCCCCACGAGCACAGAACACACAGCCCTTCCGGGCAGGCTGTTCAGGCCAGGGCCATGATAGAAACACAGCCCCTTACTGTGGCTGCTCCTTCTTTTGGTCAGGACTCAGTTTTCCCACTTGTAACCCAAGGGAGCTGGTCTGGACAATTTCTAAGGGCCCTACTGTCTATCTCGTCCATCCTTCTCTGATCTCTCTTGGAGATTTGTGCTCTGAGCTTCTCTGGTGGAAAGGCAATGGTAGAAGTCATCATTTCTGGAAACTCGAGAGATTTCATTCACTTTTTTCCCTCTTGGGAAGATGAGAAAATGCACAAAGCACAGGACCTATTACCATTCTGGAGAAAATTTCTTAAAAGTTTGCATAACCTGATCACTGACTGATCGGCAAGTCACAGAAAACACACTTTTGATAAGAGTCCGCCTGAAAGTGTCCATCCAGTTGTCAATGTGGGATGTGGCTGTTTGCTTTAGGCACATCTGTACAAGAACGTTCAATATGGAAATGCCCTTCCCCATCGCTAGTGACTGGATAACAATTTCCATCATGTGCACCACACTTTACAGTTTAGAGTGCATTTCCATATTCGGTATTCCATGAAGTTCCCATGGTCAGCCATGGAATGGCCAGGGTGGAGGGGATTGGTCCTGTTTTGCAAATGAGTAAACCGAGGCTCAGGATGGTAAAGAAACCTGCTGTCAATCACCCAGAAATCCCAGGAGGAAAGAGAGGGGAGAGTTTTCGCCTCTAATCCCCGCTCCATAGCCCAAGCAAGCTGCTCCCTGCACACCCCCCAGACAGGTTCACGTAGAAAAGAGCTGGGTGTCAGCCCCTATTTGCTTATGCAAGAAATCTCCGTAACTGAAGGTAAGGTCACTCATCCCATCATCGGAAATTTTCAAAACACAAGACTAAAGTCTCCTTAAGGAATAAGCGACTGATTCAAGTTTGTTCCATATTCCAAAGACCAGGCCTGGATCAGATCGTGGTTCGAGAAGCCTCTGCCCCTCCCCATCTTGGCTAAAGTCACTCTGGCTGCACAACTGAAGGCACCACCCCCAGGCTCTTGGCTATAACCCCCCATCCCACGCCCGGGCTGATGTGCATTAGCCTTGGCTTCATAACACACGGGAGTGTCCTTGCTCAGACATACCCTTCATCGTAATTTATAAGAAGAGGACTCTCGGGAGGCTGCTAGTGAATTTGCATTTAATAGACTGCTAAGGGCCTCGGTGGTGCCTTCCCTGCATTAACCACAGCACAACAAAAGGGTGGGGTGCATTCAGAAGCAGACGGGTATTGACAGGCATGCGGGGCGAACCGCAGCAGCGGAGGAGTCCAACCGTACCATGCTGTCTGTAGATGGGGGGCTTCCTATAGATGTTATCTTTTACGCCAGTGTCTGGGGAAGAAGAAAGAAAAACAGGAGAGAACAGGAGGGTAAGCAGCAAGTTGTGATGGTTTCTGTTCTACAGCCTTTTTTTAAGCAACAAGCACTCACCCAGATCTAGAATCACCAGGCAGGAGCTGGTACCCAGCAAGCGACAGACACCCAGGCCCCACATCGAGCCTCCCTGACTCCAGACACCACCCCCACCTGCAGGGGATGGGGCAGCAGGCGGGAACCTTGTGGTCTCCCGGGAAGGGTGGCCAGCTCGGACAGCCCTTTTCCTCCACTCCATTCCCAGGAGGACAAGCGTGTCTCCCTGCCGTTTGTGGGACTTTGGAAGAAAGCACACACACATTGGTCTGATGGTTTTAGAGAATCTCAGTGTCTGGGGAGCAGTGGAGGAGCCTGGAGTGCCGCCTGGCGCCCGCTGAGTCAAAGGAAGGTGACAGTTCGGGTGTGGCCAGACGCTGGGTGTAAGGAGCCCAGCCAGCGTGTCCTGGAGCCTACCTGGGACGTGGAAGTGGCGAGGCGCCTGCTGGTAGGTGGAGGGGGGCGGCTTGCTGTCCGAGAGCACGGAGAGGCTGGGGGTGCTCCGGCCACTTTCACTGCCTCCAGACGGAAGAGCAGAGGCAGCAGATAAAGGGGAAACGGGAAAGCAAAGTAGAATATTTCAAGCATGACAAGCTCATTCGCAGCGAGCCCTATCTCTCCTGCCCAGGGGAGCAGCCCAGAACCCCTGCCCAGGGGAAGGAGTGTGGGCCTCATCCACATTTAGGACTGTGTCCAAGGACTTGCTAATCCAACCTTGAGCTGAACTCTGTCCAGGGTCCCATGGCAGAGGGGCGACACTGCTGAGGGTACGGGGCTTGCTGTTCTTAGTTCACGCCTTAGGGGGCTCACTCCATCTGCACCTCTGTGCCCTGGCTGGTGTTCGAATCCAGCCAACTGCAAATTCGCCAAAACGAAGAAGACCCCTCTTCCTAATGATTCTTGTATATAAACACGCTGTTTTCCTCAAGAACCCACAAATTAGCCACTCAGAACAGGATTAAAGCACTAACACGATCAAAACTATTCTTAAAAGCCAGTGAGTAAAATTTTGCCAGCTGCAGAAGATAAGAATAGTATCCATCCATTACCACGTTCTTTTTGGGGGGGCGGGGATGACAGGGTCTCGCTCTGTCACCCAAGCTGGAGTGTAGTGGCACAATCATGGCTCAGTGCAGGGTGCAGGCTCCACCCTCTGGGCTTAAGCCATCCTCCCACCTTGGCCTCCCAAGTGGCTGGGACCACAGGTGTGCGTCATCACGCCTGGCTAATTTTTTTCAATTTTGTAAAGATAGGGTTTTGTCATCTTGCCCAGGCTGGTCTTGAACTCTTGGGCTCAAGCAATCCTCCCGCCTCTGCCTCCCAAAGTGCTGGGATTACAGGTGTGAGCCACCGTGCTCGGACCACATTCTTAAATACAACTCTATTTTGGCAAGTTAAACGGAAAGTATCCTCTGATCCTGCTTCCATTGCTGGGCTCACCTGGAACTATAAGTCTGTTTTGTGAGCAAGGTTGGATTATCAAGTCATGGATCCCGAGGGCCGAGGTGACCCGGCGACGCCCTCCCCCACACCTGTGTGGAGAATGAGGTGACAGACAGATGCAGGGTGCTGAACGCTTGTGATGAGAAGGGTACCCTCACTGTGGAAGACACTCCCAAAGCCCTGTTCCTCCCTGCCGCCAGCCGCAGGACGCCCCCTCGGCACTAGGTGATGGGGTGTGAGGGGAAAGGTTCTCTCGACCTGAGAGTGCTCCCTCAAGCTGCACAGCCTTTCAGAGCAGCAGGACCCTGAAGGGACATCAGAACGAAACAGAAACAGGATTTCTGCAGCGGGTGAGTGCCAAGCTGGGCCTGGAGGTGGGCTGGCCAGGTGCCATGCGGTGGACTTATGTGGGGGGCTCCTGCCTGGCAGTGGTCTGTGTGCAGTGGGAGGTCACCAGGATTGGGGAGGGCTCAGCCCGAGCAGACCCCAGTGACCCCAGCCAGGCTGACGGCACAGAAGGGACCATGGACTCTTAACTTCAGCATTTTCTTGTGCTTGGCCGTGGGTGCTGATTTTGACTGTCAATGCTGATGGAGCGTCTGATGGATAACTGTTTTTCTCTTAGCAACCTCCCTCCAGACAGCGTGGAACCTTCTAGAGCCTCAGTTGGCTCTACAGGTGCCCTTGTTGGACGTGGCACCCTTGCTGGCCGGGTCACGCTCATCAGGATTCTCCACGGTAGACTCCTGCACCTCCCGGTGGCAGCAGGGGCCTCACAGCAGGGAGGCTGGAAGGACACCAGGGACCTCTCCTACTGACTATGGCTGTGCTACAGCCATCCCCAGCGGCAGTCAAACAGGGCAGTTTCAAAAACGACACCCACAAGAACGCTGAACAGAGGAAGACGGTTCACTTCAGGCACCATCTTGAAGCTGCGTGTGCTCTTGGCATGGCCCGTGGACCTGGGAGGCTTGGGAGGGCTCATTTCTTCCTATCTGGAATCATGGCCCCTGATCTGCCTTGTCTCCCATTCAGCGGGCCAAGAATCTAACACATCACAGCGTGCCTGTCCCTCCCCAGTTCCCAGCCACAGGGCAGCGTCCCCTGAAGTTACACAGACAAGAGTCCTGAGACCCATCCAGAGACCCATACTGAGATCCATCAGATGCTTGGAGGGGCCTGAGGCCACAGGGAAGCTGGGGACACGGCCATGGTGGCCCACCTCACTCCTCTCCCCCGGGGCCCTCTAACGCCAGTCCCAGTCCTGCCACCTCGGTCCCTCCCTCCCAGAGCCCCACCCCTTGACGAGTGTCCTGCCCAGGGCTTCCCACCTGTCCAGACCCTTCTGGGGTCCAGGCTCAGGCTCTGCCTCCTCTGTTCAGCCTTCCGGGAGGACAGGGTCTACGCGGACCTCTCTCTTCTCTGCACTCATGCCTGCCTGCTAGCCATGAGGCTTCGCTGGAACAAAATGCATTGCCAGCTTCCACGTGGAGTGCTTTGCTGCTAGGCTCACATCCTAGGGGCTTCTGATATGCTACAGAGGGGGATGCTTCAGCATCCTTCACCCTGGGAGGCGGCCTGTTAGGAGAGGAGCAGCCTCAGCACTTTCTAAAAGTCTCCTCCTCCTGAACTTCCTCCACTTTTTCCTCTTCCTCCTCCTCCGCTTCTTCTCCTTCTCTTCTTTCTCTATTTTTTCCTCTTTCTCCTCCTCTTCCTCTCCTCTTCCATCTTTTAAAAATTCGGTAAATGTTTCATTCAGAACAGCCTCAGGTAGTCCAGGGGGCTTTTGCACCCTCCCTGGCCAGCCTTCCTGCCGTCCCCTCCCCCATCACTAGGGCATGCCCACAGATTGGTGCCACCTCCATGCCACACAGGATTCAGGTTTCGCTGGGTGTCACCTGGTGTCCTTCCGCTCCAGGATCCCACCCAGGAAACATGATGCTTTGTCACACGTCCCCATTGGCTCCTCTCGGCTGTGACCTTTTGCAGACTTTCCTTGTGTTTGAGGACTTTGACAGTTTTGAGGAGGGCTGCCTGATGTGTTCTCATGGAGATACTGCGGCTATGGGGTTGGGGAGTAGCCCCCGAGGTGAAGTGTCCTCACCATGCCCTGTCAAGGGCACCTGCTGTCAGCAGAGTGTATCACTGGCCGTGGCGGCCCTGCGGACTGGGTCACGTGCATCAGGATCCTCCACGGTGGACTTGTTCCTTCTCCCCTCCCACATGGTGATCTCGGGAAGGAGCTACTCTGTGTAGCCCACGCTTGCTCACGTGCCAGGAGTGGGAGTTACAACGCCCTCCTGGAGGATGGGGCGTCTGCTGACGTTATTTGGAATTCCTCTGTGTGGGAGATCTCGCTTTCTGTTTGTTTAGTCAACATTTATGTAGATGTTCATGGACGGATAGATCTTGCTACGGTACTCTAGTTTGCAATCCAATGCCACGTGCTTCATCTTGGTGTTCCTGGTGGCTCAGTGTCCCTGGCGCTAGCTCAGCTGGCTCCTACGGAGCCTCCTCCAGGGGATGCTGCAGAGAGGCCAGCTGGCAGCCACGGGCAGGACGATGCCCACACTGCTGTGCACAGATACATACTGGGTCCTCGACCACAACCACCCTGAAGACCACGCTTCAGGGATGAGGCCCTTTTGCAGCTGAGGGAGTGGCCGCTCAGCAAGATGAAGAGGCGCTGCCAGGGCCCCTCCTTCCTTCTCAGGCCAGGGGTTCAGAGTGGGCCCACCACTCAGCACATGGAGGCTGCCTGGCCAGCAGCCTCAGCAGCACCCACTCCCCTCCCAGCCTGCGCTTGCTGGCCCCCACTGCTGGCGCCTCCACAGGGGACATGTCAGGGACTGAAATTCACCAGACACTGCCCATGGCTGTGGCCAGCACCTCTCCTGAAGCTGGGTCTTGGTGGGAAGGAGAGCTGCGGTGGGGCCAGCCAGCATTGGTTGGGGGTGGGGCCTCGCCTCGCCTGGGGAGGCCACCCCCTCACAGTGCCATCTGGAGGGTAAGGTCCACTGAGCGGGGCCAGAGACAGCAGAAGAGCCACAAACACAAAGGGTTTTCCCAGAGGGCGGGCGACGCTGCCTGGTGACCAGCTGACCCCCAGGGGCTGCCACCAGGAGGTCCTAGGCTGGGATGCACTGGAGCCCATGGCTGCAGAGGAGGATGAGCGCCTTCGTGTGGCCTCAGAGGTCGGCCCAGGACCTGAGGGTGAACACAATTTGTGAACGGGGCCCCGGGTAGAAGCCTGACCCTGGGCTCTGCCAGAAGGAGCTTTGGGATCTTGGCCAGTGGCTTTTTTCTGAGCCTCAGTCCCCTCAGGAGTATGTTCTGGAAAGAGGCTGGATGCTCCCAAGGTCACGGACAGCCATGGGAATCGGGTGGGGTCGGAGCATGGGTGCCGGTTTCCCCTGCACTGGACACCACAAAAGAGGTCACCCAGCTTTGTGTCACAGCTTTTCTTTCCTTTTTCTATTATTATTATTATTATTTTTGAGATACAGTCTCACTCTGTTGCCCAGGCTGGAGTGCAGTGGCTCAGTCTCAGTTCACTGCAACCTCCGCCTCCTGGTTTCAAGCAATCCTCCTGCCTTAGACTCCCTAATAGCTGGGACTACAGGTGTGCCACCATACCTGGCTAATTTTGTATTTTTAGTAGAGATGGGGTTTCACCAACTCTAGGTTGGTCTCAAACTCTCAACCTCAGGTGATCCACCCACCTTGGCCTCCCAAAGTGCTGGGATTACAGGTGTGAGCCACTGCACCCAGCTCCGAGGGACTTCTGAATGAAGGGCACTGGCAGGCCATGTGGCCAGGGAGGAACCAGGGCAGAGATAAGCATCAAAGAAGCAAAAACCTGGCCCCACCCAGTGGAGGTCTCAAACGGACGGTGCCTCCTGGCCCCGGGATGTCCTTGGAGGGGCTGTGGCGTAGACAGCTTCGGAGCCACATTGTGGTGGTGGGGTGGGTAGCTGGGCAGTCTCCAAACTCTCTCCTGCTACATGGGGCAGAAGGGCGGGCATGAGGGAAGGGGGCTGCCAGTCCTTGGTCTCCCTCTTTGGCTGTCTTGGGAGCTGAGGAGGGGGCTGCTCCCAGGGGGCCTGCCCTGGGCCTTCCTCGCCCTGAAGTGGTAAGAATTAGATGGCGGATACTCAGGACGGGGCAGAGGAGGGGAGGGTCACCAGGGCAGACTCTGGGTCCAGGCCCCACAGAGGCTGCTCACAGGGGCTTCCTGGGGTGCGGAGTGAGCCTGCCCCAGGCTCTGGCCATGCCCCCTCTCAGGGACCCACATTTGGGATGGCCACAGCAGGAGGGCTGAAGGTGGGAGGAGAGCTGAGTGCCAGGGCCTCTTGGCACGGAGCAACAGGAGAAGTGGCATCTCCTTGGGTGCCCTGCCGGGACTCACCCAAAGGGTTGGATTCACCCTGGGTTTCGGGCGACCCCCGCCACGTGACTGCCGTGGACCACACACAGCAAAGCCCCTGCTGGCTGCGCTCCTGCTCTGGGGAAGTGCCCTTTCTGCCTCTTTTTGTTTGCTTGTAGTCTGAGTCGGGGTCTTGCTCTGTTGCCCAGGCTGGAGTGCAGCGGCGCAATCATAGCTCACTGCAGCTTTAGATTCCTGGGCTGAAGCAATCCTCCCGCCTCAGCCCCCTGACGAGTTGGGATTACAGGCATGCACCACCTTGCCCAGCTAAATGTTTTTTTTTTTTGTAGACAAGGGGTCTCACTAGGTTTCCCAGGCTGGTCTTAAACTCCTGGCCTCAAGTGATTCTCCTGCCTTGGCCTCCCAAAGTAGTGGGTTACAGGTGTGAGCCACTGCACCTGGCGGAGGGTTTTGCTTCTTCTTGAAGGAGTCAAATCATCCCAAGAGGCCGTGAGCTGTAGGGACAGGTTCCCAGAAAAATAAGGATGGCCATGTCCATCCATGGTCAGGAACTCTCTTCTCAGTAGGCCACAGGCCCTCCTAAAACGATGGTGATGAGGTACACAGAGAGGTGCGCAGGTCCGAATGAGCCCCGTCCGATGACCGTCCCATGATGGGAGTCATGCCGTCTGCCCCACCTTCTCGCTCCCTGTGGCCCAGGAGGCTTGTCCGGGAGCATTCCCACTCAGCAGCTGCACAGGATGGGGAACTTATGGCATCGACTGGGGAATCGGCAAGAATATCATGGCTGCCTCCTTTAACACTCTGTCTTTCCGTGGTGCACCAGCCAGCTAGGGCCGTGTAACAAAGTACCGCAGCCGGGTGGCTTAAATGACAGACATATTTCCCCCCACAGTGCTGGGGGCTGGTCCTCTCTGAGCCAGGTCTGGCAGGTTGTGGCTTCTCCTGAGACCATCCTTCCTGGCATGCAGACATCGCTGTGTCTGCGGTGGCCTTTTATCTGACTGTGTGTGGAGAGAGGGGGAGCGATGGCATCTCTTCCTCTTCTTGTAAAGATGTCAGTTCTATGGGATTCAGGCCCACCCTGAGGACCTCATCTAATGAATCGCCTCCTTAAAGGCCCCCTGTACAGACAGAGTCATGTCAGAGATTAGGGCTCCAACCTATGAGTGTAGGGGACGCACTTTTCAGTCCTCAGCATACAGGAAAACACGAGCATGGCCATGTCCCTGTGAGACCTGCATGTGGACGCCTGTGCAGGGATGTGGATGGCTCACCTACTCCTGGGAGAGCCAAGAGTTGGAGCCACACGGGATGTGAACCCTGCCCTGGGCCCAGGAGCTCTGGAGCTGTGGAAGAGTCGGGGCCTCTGCACAGCGTAGCTTCTGCTCCTGAACACTAACCCCGAGAGCACCTGCGGCCCCTGGCTGATGCATGGAATCAAAGGTGGTGACTTGGGTAAAGGCTCTGAGGACAAAGCCTGTGGGGGGTGTGGAAGAACACCTGGTCCCCTCTTCCTGCAGCTTTCCAAGCCCTCTCTCCCTTCTGCTCCTTTACGTAACAAGGTACCTACGTTTTCCTTCCAGGAGCATTTGCACACAGACACATGGAGCCAGACGCACAAGACACACACAGCGAGGGGACAGGGCATGAAACAGGGGCTCCGGTGAAGCCATGCGGCGACATGGACAGCGAGCACACAGACGCCGGGCGTGGACGCCCGCGAGCACCCACCGCCCACAGCACTGCGCGCCTTACCTCGGAAGTGGGGGATGTAATGATGTCTGAACATGGATGTAGGGCTTGGGTGTTGGGACAGGGAGAGGCAGCTACTGGCACCCACACTCACAGTACCAGCTACGGGGTAACAGAGAGCAAGTCAGAGTCAACCTGGGCTCGCTGGCACAAAGCCACACACATTCCTCAACCCCACTCTGCTAGGAACACTGTTGCTTCCTCTCTCGAGGAATGCACCCCTTTTTGCACCTGAAGGGGGTCACCAAACACGCTTTAGACCACTCTCCTCCAGGTACGGAGTGAGGAAACTGGACCTTGGAGTATCAGGCAGAGGGCAGGGGTTCCCAGGAGAGGGAGGGCCCCCAGCCAGGCCTGTGGCTCAGCACTGGGGGTCTCCTGAGGATCAAGGACTGAGCTGGAGAGCAGCTCAGGGAGTGGTCTGCCACCAGACATCTTCACCAGCCTCGCCCGGCAAGATGCAAGCTTGGCTCTCGGGGTTAGCCTGGGCCAAGCGCAGTCAACAAGCCCAGGCCGTCCTTGTTGAGCCAGCAAAGGGTCCTTAGGAGGAGGAGCTCAATAAAGTTGGCTGCCCTTGGCTCACCTGCTCACCTGCCTGCTCACTCACTCATTTCTTCACTCATTCATTCATTCAGTCATTCATGCACTCACTCATTCCCCTCCTTGCTCACTCACTCATTCAATCACTCATTCACTCACTCATTCACTCATTCATTCACTTGCTCACTCATTCATTCACTCACTCACTCATGTACTCACTCATTTCTTCACTCACTCATTAACTCCCTTACTTGTTCAGTCGCTTGTTCACTCACTCACTCACTCACTCACTCATGTTACCCACTTTCTCAACATTTATTGAGCAGAATGTACCAGGCACATTGCAAGGAGCCCATGGAAATAACTTTGCAAATGAATGAGTTTTGATTTTTCCACAAAGGCTGCAAGAATAAGAACTAGTGTCCATGGAGGTGGAAATGGAGCCATGCAGCAGCTGGCCGGGAAGGAGGCAGCTCGGAAAAATCCCTCAAAAGGCAGTGTCCGTGTGGGGTGTCCCTGCTGTGGCTTTCACACTCTTGGGGGGTCGAGGTGTTTCACAGCTACAGGGAATGATACACAGCTGGGCAACAGGCAGGGGATGAGGTGACGCGTATGGAGAGGACTCGCCTTGGGGCTCTCTCCCGGCTGGCGGGGGCCTCTCACCCTTCTCCCATGAGGACAGCGGTCACTGGAGGACCAACTCAGCCACAGGTGAAATGTTAACGGGCTTCACTTTTCCACCACGGTCTTTGCTTTCCCAGCCCATCTTCCCAGACCCACATGAGCTTGCCACTGGCCGGCGTCTGGTCTGCTAACGTGTGCTGCTTTAGCTTCCTGACATCTCCTGCCACTGAATCATTAGCTGGAGTCTACGCGCTCAGTGTGTGCTTCCCAGGACGTGGCTCCGCTAACCAGCAGGGCAGCCTCTGCAGCTCACCTCGCCCCAAGATACGAGGAGCTCCTTTCCTTTATGTCACTAAATGAACAGGCTCTCAGCCACCCGCCCGCTGGCAATCCCACCCATTTCCATCATGTTTCCAGTTGCATAAGGAAAAGGCCACTTATGTAGGAAAAAAAAAAAAACAAGGAAAAGGACAGCGTCCCTGGGGGCTCAGAGGAGCCAGGGGGCCAAGTACCTGGACGGCTGTAGTGCTGTGGTGACCGTGAGGTCGGGGTGTAGCGGCCGAGGCTGACCGACCCAGTGGAGCTTGGGCTGGAGGTCCGGCACTGCTTGTAGGACCGGTCATCCTGATCCCCCTGGGAGGGAAGACACAGCTCGTGAATTTTCCAGCCGGGAGCTCTGCCCACCCCTGTCCACCCATCCCCCCCCCACCTCCATGTGGCATTTGCCCTCCTGACCCAAGGGGATGACTCAACGTGGCCCCATGTAGGAATCCCCTGCACCTGCCCTGGCAGGTCTGAAGAGCCAGGTGGGGCCTGGCATGGTGCAGATGCACTCCTCCCTGTGCCTGGTGGATCCCCGCCACAGGGCATACAGGAACCCACTGGCGGGGACCCCCCTTCCTCTCCTGCGGGTGGGAATTCCGGCTGCATTCTCCAGGTCTCCTCTTGCCTGACCCTCGCCAGTGCCCAGGGCTCTTAGAACTCAGTGTGAGAACCATGGAGACTCCTCCAGTCCCAAAGGGGCTTGCCACGTGTGAACTGGGGGCTCTCACGGCCCCGACACTCATTTGGAGGTAGAAAGGTACCCCACCCAGGCTGGGACACCCAGCTGAGTCAGACCCACAAGCATGGACATGGCAGACTTCATCTAGGCAGGAGCAGCTGTTTGCAGCAGGCGGAGTGGGAGGCGGGTGGAGTGAGGTGGCGTGGCACCATGGCATGGGGGAGAGCAGGCTGCCTGGCCCACCACAGCTTGACATGCTGGCCTGGGTCATTACGTGGCCCAGCCCAGTGTCCTGCTGTAGGCGGATGCTGCTGTTTTGCCCTCAAGGGCACTCATGAGCAAAGGAATTCCTGGTCTGGGCCCACGGCTCCCCTGGCCTGTCGGAGAGTATCTCCCACCCCAAGGCGTGCTGTCCCTAATGCCTGCCTGGCGTGCCACCCCCATGCGCTCAGGCTAGGTTCCTATCTAGGCTTCTCCCTGCACCCTGTGGCGACCGTCTAACCCCAGCCAGGGTGCACTCTCTCAGGCCGGCTAGTGCCCTGCCATCTCCTCACTACCCTGGGCATTCTCTGCACGCAGCCAATGTCCACCTTACAGGTGTCCTGGTCCTGGTCCAGCCGGGACTCTGGGCTTGCCAGCTACACACGGGTTCGGCAGCTCGGTGCAAGCGGCCACTTGCGTGTTTGCCCGTCACATCCCTGGATCCAAGGGTTTGATGCCCAGCTGCTGCTGGCCTTGCAGGCGGGCCACGTTCTTCCAGCAGAACAGCACCACCGAGGCCCACACTTACCCTATTCCCCGACCGTCCCCCAGCCCTGTGTCTATGGGGGCAGGTGAAGGAGTCAAGTGGAGAAGCCAGGCAAGGGGGCTCTGCAGAAGGTTCTGGTTCTACAAAGCTGTCAGGAGCTGGGGAGGGCCTCAGCCTCAGTGATCAGGAGGTAAGTTCTCCTGGGACCACTCCTAAGGGCTGGATTGGGAAACCTGGCTGTGGGCAGGGAAGGCAGGAAGCTGGGAAGTCCTGATGAGGGTGGCCGAGGTCCTGTGATCACAGTGACCACCTCTGCAGTGCATGGCTCCCACTGAGCAAATGTGTGCGCTCTTGTGTTCCACTCTGGGGCACAGCCTGATACAGACGCCTCTGCAGGGAGACCAGGCTCTTTCTAGGAGTGTGCTCTGTGCCAAGCAGACCCTTCATCTCATTGGGAAGGGGAGCAGACATCCCTCCCTCAGGAGTTCCCTGTGCGGGTAAGTGAGAAAATGAAAAAGTGCCCGGCCCCAGGCCTGGGACATAAGAATCAGTGCTCTGGGGACTCAGTCCCCAGAGACCCACGGCTGTGCACAGCTCCAATGGGGCAGGCTGTCTGAAGCAGGAGGCTGGAGAGCTCAGTGGGTGAGCACAGGCTCCGCGCCACCAGCTGGACTGAAATCCTCCCGTGTGTGACCCTGGAAAGGTTACGTAACTTCCCTGTGCCTTAGTTTCTCTGCAGCAAAAATCACAGAACTTGCCTCTAGGGGTTGTGGTGGGGGATGAATAAATATAAATTTTCTTTTTTTCTGAGATGGAGTCTTACTCTGTCACCCAGGCTGGAGTGCAACGGCATGATCTCAGCTCACTCCACCCTCTGTCTCCTGGGTTCAAGCGATTTCCCTGCCTCAGCCTTCAGAGTAGCTGGGACCACAGGTACATGCCACCACACCCGGTAATTTTTTTACTTTTAGTAGAGATGAGGTTTCAGCATGTTGGCTGGGTTGGTCTCGAACTCCTGACCTCAGTGATCCGCCGGCCTCAGCCTCCTAAAGCGCTGGGATTACAGGCGTGAGCCACTGCTTCTGGCCTATAAAATGTTTACCATGGCACAAAGCACAGGGGAAGAGCTGGGGGTGCAGCCGCTGCCAGGGCTCTCTATTCCCAGCTACCACGGCACCTTTCTGTTGTGGCCACCTGCAGACTGCAATCTGATGGGTAGCTCTCTATGTCACTGATTAATTTTGAGAAACGTAAAAAAAAAAAAAAAAGCTGGACCACTAACAGTAAAGGCTCTTTCTTAGAGAGACACATCCAGGGTTTCTCAGGAGGACCAGGGGCTTCCCATCCATCCCATGTGGAGGGGCGGGAGGCAGGAAGTGCTCCCAGGCTCAGCCAGGCTCCTGAATTTTCCCCTAAAGGAAGCCGTGGCCCAGACCACGATCTGCTCGGGGGATCCCGCGTTCCAGGCGGCCACGTCTTCAGGGCTGGCAGACACACGGGGGAAGCATGCAGGTTCAGCGTGGTCATAAAGATAACCAGCAGCCAGGAGGGCGCCCCACGCCACGAGGGCCATGGCCCTGGGACCCACAGTGAAGAGCCACTGAGCAGGCCCCTCCCAGGGGTGTGGCTCGGTGGTTATGTTTATAACCTGGGCGGCAGTGCCACAGCAAGCGGGGGCAGGCGAGAGGGTGGTGGTTACCTCGGTCGGCGTTGGCGAGAGCAACTGAGGGGACTGTGGACACAACACACAAAGTGGCCATTAGTGCCGGCGCCAGGCAGAGAGGGAGGAGGGCAGTGCCGTGACCGGCAGGCAACACAGAGCCCCGACCCTCGAGACAGGAAAAGAACCCTACCCCGAGAGACACAAGCCAGGACTCCGGAACCTTCTCTTTGCAGAAACATGGTTAATTCCACCCAGAGAAAGAGGCCCCCGGGGAACTGATTTCATGCCCATGAGCCCAGAGCTTGTCTCCCCCTGGCCACCCCCATGTCCCACTGTTCTCCCACAAAGACGTATTTTCCCAGAAGGAAGAGACTGGCTCAGGGCACGGCAGCAACACCCTATGGGCTCTGACCTCGGTTTCCTCTGGACAAGACAGAAAAGGGGCTCAATAGAGACGGTGGGCGACAGGAGCCTTTGGGTTGGAGCCGGCTCCGCCGTGGGGGCCCCAGGGCCCTGGACAGCAGGCAGACCTGTCCTCCCAGGCCGGCACCCCATCCACTACCACCCGCACTAATGATTAGGGAGGTGGGAGGTGGGAGGGAGGCCAACCTCACCAGGGCCTCTAGAAAATGCTCGGCCCTCATGAGGCGGCAAGCACAGGGACAGAGAATGCCGTTCCCACGCAGAGCGGGGAGGCGCTGCATTCACAGAAACCATGGTTATTATGGCGAAATAACTCGACGGCCTCTGGGAGGCTGCCACAGGAGGTGGGAGGCTGCCACAGGAGGTGGGAGGCTGCCACAGGAGGTGGGAAGCCAAAGGCTGTGGGGGAAACAATGGAATTGAGGGAGGAAGCCTCAGGCTGCTCCTGGCCATGGGCACAGAGGAAGTTCAGTGAGGACACACCTGACCCAGGTGCCCGCCCCGTCCACCTGCCGAGGCAGGCCCCACGGGGTCGCACGTTACAGCTCAGAGAAGAAGCTCACACACAGGTGCCAGTGTTTAGCAGAGCAGGGAGGCCAACCCAGGTGTCCCCAGAGGGAGAGGGTGACTCTGGAGCCACAGCCCCTCCCTTCCTGCCACTCCTCTGCCCTCTGGGGACAGGTCCTGGGGTAGGATCATCCATGGTTCACAGATGTCCTGCCATTTGAGGGGCACAGCCCTAGAGAGGCTGAAAGAAACCTCTGTGACACAGCTAAGGGTTGGCATCCACTTTGCGGCTGGAAGCTGAGTCCCAGTCACACCATGGAACCCCCGGAGCGGGGTGGAGGGCGATGAGAGCCCAGGCCCACACACATCACCTCTGCACGTGGCCCTTCACGGCCACAGAGCCCTTCCGCAGGGACACACACACCCAAACCAGGAAGCAGTGTACCCGATGCCCCAAGGCTGCTAGGAGGTGGAGCAGGATTGCGAGGCCAGTCCTCTAGGCTTGAATTGCATGTCCCAGAGAGAGTACTAGGACGCGCTAGGAAAATGGCCAGCAGGTCCTGTGGTCTTTGGGGTAAGGAAGGACTGGATTTGGGTCTCAGCCCTATGGCCAAGTCGCGAGTCCTCACAGACTCTTTGCCAGTGTCTGGTCCAGGTGCAGACCAGATGTTGGACAATAAAGTCCACACCCAGCCTGGGCGTGTGGTAGGTGGGTACAAGTGGGTACACGCAGGTGGGTGCAGGTGGGTGCGGGTCGGGGCGGCCTCCCTCAGCTCCCCCCGCTGGTCCCTCTCAGTGTGAGTGGGGTTTGTCACCCACATCCTCAAATTCCCATGATGCACAGGGCAGACGCAAGTCAGGAGGGCACCTGCCAGCCCTGCACTCATCTCACCTCCCTGCACAGCCCTTGAGCTCGGCAGGTGCACCCAGCAGCCAGGGCTTCCTCACCCCACATCATCCGCACTGATCACGATGCCCTGGAGACTCAGCTCTTGCTTCCCAAGAGACCCTTGTTGAAGTCTCTAAATGAGAAGGCCCAAGGGAAATGTGTTTGAAAGCACTGGGCCTCCCCACCCCGGGGAGCACCCCATCCCTGGCGGCACACAGGCCAAGAGCACCCACGCTCGGGCCAACAGCCTGGCAATGCTTCTTCCTGCCCCAGGCAGCCATGGTCCTGTTGAAACCTCAGAACTGCAAGAGGAAAAGCAAAAACCAACAATACATTCCACAGGAAATGGACAGTGCGGCTCTGAATAAGAAGCCTTCAGGCCGGGCGCGGTGGCTCACGCCTGTAATCCCAGAACGTTGGGAGGCCAAGGCGGGCAGATCATGAGGTCAGGAGTTCAAGACTAGCCTGACCAACATGGCGAAACCCCATCTCTAAATAAATAAATAAATAAATAAAATTTTTAAAAAAAGAGAGCAAGAAACCTCCGAGGAGTAAGGAACGCTGTGCGCAGGCGTGCCAGGAAATAATCTGTGGTTCAACCAGGTCAGTCGCATTGGCTCATGAGTTCATGGGGCAGAGAAGCATGGGGCAGAGCTGGCAGGGAGGGTGGCGTGTGGTCCAGAGTGTTCTGCTGAGGAAACGCATCTCGTGCTTTAGGAAAAGAATCTAATGCTTAAGAAAATTAGGAGATTTTCACTGAGTTGCTATCATCTTTCCCACAAACAAGCACGCTTCCTACTTTCTGCTCCGTTTAAGGAGGATTCCAGGCCCACTCTTGAGCGACGGCAGCTCTGGGCCGCAGGGACTTGGGCAGTACCTAAATCGGACATGCGTGTGGCTATCTGACGGGTGTGAAGAGGCTGAGCGTGTGGGTGCGTGGGGAAGATGAAAGTGGGCTCTGGCCCCATGGGACGCGTGCGAGGGAGGATGCCCTGCCATGCAGGCAGGGTCCATACCTCGCCGTAGCTCTGCCTGTCCCCTGCAGAGTGGCTGATGTAGGGCGAGTAGGAGATCATGTCCGGACGGTCGATGTCATAGATGGCCTTACTTTTAGGAAGGGCTGCCAAGTCCCTGTAGTCCAGGATCTCACCACCAAGCTTGGCCTGAGTGGGGAAAGAGAAGTGGGGAGGGACAGTCAGACCTGTATCCCAGAGGGCAGTGTCCCCAAAGCCAGATGCACCCCAGAGGGCAGCACCCCCAAAGCCAGATGCATCCCACCGGACAGTGACTCCAAAGCCAGGGGACAGTGGCTGCACCAGCAGCCACGAGGGGGGTGCTGAAGTTGCAGTACTCCCAGCAGAATCTGAGCTTACCCCCAGCTCCTGTATAGATGAAATGGGGACGGGGTCAAAAGTACAGGGGACTTCAGAGCACGCGGGCTTGGGTCCTGAGGCCCAGCCACAAAAGGGCCATGAGGCCCTGCAGAAGTGTCTTCTCTGAGCTTCAGTTTCCTTCTGTACAAAGTGAGGGAAACGATCGATCACACAGGAAGGCTCTGGGGTCAAGGAGGCCAAGCCTGTGATGTGCCTGGCATGGGGCCTGGCAGTCAGTCAGACTCAGTCCATGACCTAAACAGGGGCATACGCATATACACATACACACACAGACATGCACACATGCAAACACGCACACCGCATGCACATACACACCAGACAAACACACATGAAAACACAAGCATCCCTTACTATTCACATGGGATTGCTTTCCGGATCTTCCTCACAGCCCCAAATCCTCAAATGCTCAGGTTGTTACGTAAAATTACGTGGTATTTGCCTGTAACCTGTGCACATCCTCCTGTTTGCTGAGGATCATCTGGGCCATTGGTAGTGCCTAACACAGTGTGAGTGCTGGGTAGATGGATGTTACTCTGTGTTATTTCACTTGTGCTATTTTTAATTGTTGGTTTGCTATTTTTATTGTTTTCTAAGAATATTTTCAATCTGAGGTTGGTTGAATCTGCAGATGTGGAACCCATGGATACAAAGGGTGATGATACGTACCTACACATACCTGTACATGCACGGACACACACATGCACGCACTACACACAGGTACATGCACTCCCCACACAGAGAACGTGCCTGAGGCTGTGGAGGAACAGGCACTCCCTCACATGCAGCCCACTCCCACATACCAGCACACACGTGTCCACACCCACACACGGACGTGTTCACACATGCAGTCGCTGCCCAGGCCCACGGCTCACGCACACACTTCCAGCACACCCCACACATGGCACACACACCTGCGCGGCCAGACTCACCCACAACGTGCATGCACAGCTGCCCACACACACTTGCACACAATCACCCTACCACACCAAGCAAGTTCACATTCCCCGCCCCCCATGCCCACACGCAGTCGCCATTCACATGCACTCCGTCAGCAACGCACCTGGCATTTGACAGGCCAGCTGGGACACACCCTCGGCGGGGTGGCGGACCGTCTGTCTGGTCCACTCCTGCCTACTCTGGCCCTCAGAGGTGCTCCCGCACTTGAGAGCCCCTGTGTCTGCCCAGGGGAGGTCCAGCTACGCGTGCCGCTCACTGCTCTGACTCTGCCCACGCTTCCCCGCGGTGCCCCTGTGCACTGTGCACGTGCTCTTGCCCCTGCCTGTCCCTTCTCCCTGGCTCTGGGCTCCCCCGGAGCTGCCTGGGGCATTTTCCAGGCGCAGGTGGCTCTGGTGGAGATCTGTGCTGCATCTTGATTCTGCCTCCGCCTCCTCCAGGCCTCCTGCCAGGCTTCCTCTCCATGGCACCCTCGGCAGTGACGGGCACGAGGCACTAAGCTGAGTCCTCTATCATCTGCTCACAAAACACAGTGATGCCATGGAGGAACACTCACAGCAGCTCCTTTTCACAATTCAGAAGCCAGAGCCCAGGGAGGCTGGGTAACTTGGCCAGAGTCACACAGCCAGAAGGGAGTAGGACAGGATATGAACCTGGCTGTCTGACTCCAGAGCCCACGTTCCCTACCGCAGCCCTCGCCAGAGCCCACACTCCCCACCGCAGCCCACGCTCCCCACCGCAGCCCACACTCCCCACCGCAGCCCTCCCCTTTCAAGGCCTCACTGCCAGGGGACCACCTCTCAGGCCCAGATGCACCACAGGGTTCTCAGCTCACACCCCCCGGGAGCCCCCTCCTGGGCTGGAGAATGTAAGCCTCCGTTATGGCCCCCAAACTTGGCCTTCCTGTTCCTAGCAGCTTTACCTAAGGCGACTCCTCCCCGTGTCCCCACATGTGCTAGGTTCAGCCCCCTGCTCCAGCTTTCCTGTATTCTTCAGGGGTCTACTAGCCCCCAGCCCACCTCCTCCACGAAGTATTCCCTGATCACCAGGCTTGAGGGCTCTCCTAAGACATCAGGTCTCGGGGCGAACCCTGCCACTTGCCATGTGCATGAAGAGAATGAAGTTCCACCATCTGAGGCTTCTGGCTGCCCTTTGGAGCCTGGGGCAGCGTTCAGAAGACCCCAGCCGGACATTTGTAATGAGGAGATCTGATCCTGCAGGATTTCAGCAGCTCCCCTCTGCCTTCAGGATCTGCCGCTGGTTTCCCTGCTTATCCATGCCACTTGGCACTCAAGGCCTTACAGCTCCCAGTCACCCATAGCCTGGGGGCTTTGTACCTGCTGTTCCCTTTGGGACGTGCCCTTCCCACGCCTCTTCCCCAGGTTCCTCCTCTGGTTCTTCCAGACCCAGTGGAGGCCCCTCCCCCAGGCTCCCTTCCCCTGTCCCCGCCCACTCTGGGTTAGTGTTGGTCCTCTTCTGTTGACTCGTCCCTCATCCCCCAAGATTGTGGCTCCTGGAGGCCCAGGACTCATCACTGAGTCCCCTGCCCAGCTGTGAGCTTGACAGCAGGGTTGTGAATTGAATGAAAGCCAACCGAGCATTTACAAAAGTCAGGTGAATTCTCAGCCGGATGCCTGGAGAGGTGTGTTTTGCACCGTGCTTTTCCCACCTCCGTCCCCTCCCAGCAGTGATGATGGCAGCATTCACCTGTCCAGCCCCACAGTACAGGGGTCAGCGGGGCAGCGAGGCTGCCTTGCCCTGGGTTAGTTCCCTGCCTTCCTCAGGCTTCCCTGAACCACCCGGCCCTTACAGTAGGGGTCAGAGAGGGCAGCCTGCAGGATGCCAGCAGCCTCTGCCCGACCCCCCAGACAGGCCGCTAAGTGGCCTTGCAGATCCACTTCCTCCCATGCCAAGTCCTTGGGTGGTTGCCGTGACAACGGGCTGCCCTCTCTAATTGGCGGAAGGCTCCTGGAGTGTGTGTGTAAAGGGTTTCTCCTCTTTGCTTTCTTCCTTCCCACACTCCATCCAGCATGATACACAATAATATGGCCACATATGACATTATCATTACCACATTATCCAGTCAATAACACAGAATGGAAGAATGCTGCTTTCACACTACGCACTATTGCCATGTTGAAAGAAAGGCTACAAAACATTACGTCCAGTGTGACCCCATGTTACAAAAATCACCCACACACAGAAGGGAGACCTGAAGGGTGCCCATGGCATCAGCAGGCCACGGTGGCTAGCAGGACGCAAATGCTTCAATTTCCTCTGCTCTGCCGATTACTTTTTTTAAAAAATAAATACTGATTGCTTTTGTAATAAAGAAAAGAGCAGTAAAATAGGTTATGTCCAGAAGCCCCATGATTTGTAGATTGTCTACTGTGTGTGCGTTTTCTCCTGGAAACTAATTTGAATGAGATGCAGCCCCTGCCCAACAAGCCCTCACGGGCTGCGGAGGAGATGCAGTCACTCGATGGATTCCGGTCCATTCCTGTGCACGTGAATGGCATGGGGAGACGGTCTCTTCCTGACAGTGACGGAAGGGGATGCTGCATTTGACAACCACCCACAGGAGGCGGGGCTAGGTGGCTGCAACCTGCACACACCCTGATGGGCTGTGGAATGGCCCCTTCCTGAGGCCACGGAGGTGCCCAGCGCAAAGCAAGGGGCTAGGCACATAGTAGGTTGACAACAGACACCAGCAGAGGTGAGGAGAAAAGCAGGGCAGGCCGGGTGCAGTGGCTCACACCTGTAATCCCAGCACTTTGGGAGGCCGAGGCAGGGGGATCGCCTGAGGCCAGGAGCTGGGAGACCAGCCTAGCCAACATGGTGAGACCCTGTCTCTACTAAAAATACAAAGTTAGCCGGGCATAGTGGCTCACACCTGTAATCCCAGTAACTTGGGAGGCCGAGGCAGGAGAATCGCTTCAACCTGGGAGGCAAAGGTTGCAGTGAGCTGAGATCGTGCCATTGCACTCCAGCCTGGGTGACCGAGCGAGACTGGGTCTCAAAAAAAAAAAGAAAAAAAAGGAAAGAAAAGCAGGGCAGAACCCTGAGATCAGGAGGGCCTGCCACCAGATCACATCATCTTGGACACGCCCACTGCGTGTGGCAACAACCTCGAGGTGGCAGGGAGAGCGGGGCTGCTCCGGCTTCTGGCCTGTCTGCCCCTGGGAGGGCCGGGGTGCAGCCAGGCTGGGTGCTGACCATGGTGCTAGGAGCACGTGTCAGAGTTGGGAGCATGTGTCCTCAGACGGCGGCTCCACCACTTAGAGGCTGCGTCACACAAGCACGTCAGCGCACCTCTCGGAGTGGCATCCGCGGCGTGAGCACGGTGATGGCAGGTCCTGGACAGCTCCGAGGCCAGGAGGAGACAGTGTGGAACACCACAGATTCTCTCGGGTCAAACTAAGAGCCGGGACATTGGATTAGTTTCTTGGAGGCCTGTTTAAAACCGGAGTTGTGTGCACGCCTACTTGGCCGAGCAGGAAGTCCATCAAAGCTGAGACAGTGCAACAGGCTGCATTCGACCTGGGTCAAGTGCACACCCCGCTGGTGCAGAAATTCTTCACCCACCAACATCCTGCCCCCTCCCTTGGCAGGCAACCCCTGAAACCCGCACTTGGGTCTGCCCCGATCTCTCCTGTAGAAGGGAACCCTTCTACATCCCCCACCAGAAGAGGGATGCCGCCTAGCCTGATCATGGCTGGGTCCCCAGGGCTCCACAGGGAGCTTGTGCTCTCCCATGCTTGTAATTGCCCGATGCAAGAAGAAAGGACCCACCACGGCTGTTGACAGCACTGAGCAGTGGGGTCTCGGAGAAAACTCAAGCCTTGGGGTCATGGAGACCTGAGCTCAAAGCCCAGCTCTGCCGCTGACTGTGCATGGCCTTGAAAGTGAGACCATGCCAACAGAGGCCGCTGTCACTGCTTGCTGCATGCATCCACAGTCACTACCACCCCTGAGGCCCTGGCAGATGCCAGTTTGTTTAAAAAAGAATGAGCTCATATTTAATGGGCATTTACACTGTGCCACGCAGGTTCCAGTAACAACAGCAGCAGCTACCATGAAGATCGCTTGCAGATGCCAGGCCGGATGCCGAGTGCTTTGCCAATGTTGGGGCTCAGGAAGCAATACCCCAAAGTATGGAGCCACGGTGTGCTGAGGACTTTGACCTAACGGAGGGTGGAAGGCCTTGGAAGCAGGGCCTCTGTGACCACCTCCTGACATCCTGTCTCTCACACTCTTCCTCCCCGTGCCCCTGAAGTGAGCCACAGAAACCAGAGTTCCTCTTCCCCAAGGCGGGTCATAGAAACTAGAACCTCTTCCCCAAAGCCAGCCATGAACCCTAGAAACATCAGTCTAACCTTCCCTCACTCTGTGCACGACCTGGCGTGGAGACATTCTCTGACCTGGCTTGGCTGGAAATGCATCCTAAGACCCCCTGCCCTATAGCTGGAGGAGGGAGGGCTGCCCAGCGAGGCCAAGAAGCATCTGAGCGGACCGCCCTGCTGTGCCCCCCTCTGCCCCCACTCTGTTCCCAGCAGATCACACACTTTCTGCCCAATCAGTTTTCTACATGGTGGTCCAGTCTTCATCCAGTCTAAGCATAAAAATGAGCAGTGCCAGCCAGGCGTGGTGACTCACACCTGTAATCCCAGCACTTTGGGAGGCCGAGGCAGGCAGATTGCTTGAGGCCAGGAGTTCAAGACCAGCCCGGGCAACATAAAAAGACCTCATCTCAACTAAAAATGTAAAAATGAGCCAGGTGAGATGGCCCGTGCCTGTAGTCCCAGCTGCTCAGGGGGCTGAGGTCGGGGGGTCGCCTGAGTCCAGGGAGGTTGAGGCTGCAGTGAACCATGATCTCACCACTGCACTCCAGCCTGGGCGACAAACCGAGAAGTTATCTCAAAAATAAAATTAAAAAGGACAGTCCTGCCTGAGTCTTTGGGCCTTCATTTCCGAAGTCTCCTGTGCCACCTAAAACTTTGATGAAATAAATCTGTCATGCTTTTCTCTTGTTAGCTTGTCTCTTGCTATGGGAACATCGGCTGTGACCCTTTCAGCGGGTGAGAAAACGGATCACACCTGTGTGTCCCTACACAAACCTTATCTCATTCACATGGTAACTGTCATAATCATTACTCATGAAGATGGTGAGGGTATTATGGGCTGAACTGTGTCTCCCCAAATGCATATGCTGGTAAAGTCTAACCCCCAGGACCTCAGAATGGGACTGTATGTGGAGACAGGGCCTCGGAGAGGTGATGAAGTCAGGATGAGGCCGTTAGGGTGGGTCCATCCAGTCTGCCTGGTGTCCTTACGGGAAGAAAGCAGGACCCAGACACACACAGGGAGAGGATGGCCACCTGCAGGCCAGGGACAGGGATGCCAACCCTGCCAACTCCTTGATCCTGGGTTTCCAGGCTCTGGAATTTTGAGACAATTTATTGCTGTTGTTGAAGCCCCCAGGAGGCTGATGCAGATGACGGACATGGTAATGGCAGTGAGCACCTCTCACGTCCTTCTTCTGGGCGGGCGCTGTGCTCACAGCCCAGGCAGTGCCTCAGTGACCCCTGGAACAAAGGTGCCCAGGGGTCTCCACAGCTCAATGAGGCCCTCCTGGAGGCTCCAGGCAGGTGGCACCTCACCCAGGGCATGAAGCCAACATGGTGCCTTTGTGCGCCCACCTAAGCTTCGGAGTGCACGCCCCGAGGGCCACAGTGCCACTCACCCTCCAGGCCAACTGTGCGTCATGGTAACCGAGGACTCAGTCAAGGTTAAGGCCAGGAAGGACCCTGTGTCCAACCACTACGAGAGATGAGGGCGGGAAAGAATGCAGTAGAGAGCTGACCAAGACCCCGCTGAGGCGAAGGAACCCAGGTCCTGGCCTGGTGGGGATGGGGAGGGGAGAAGGGGCTTGTCCCAGGTCACCAGCTGTTCCAGTGCTGGGTTCTGGTACAAGGGCACCTACACGGCGGTCCTGGGCAGCTCCCACCACTGCACAAGCCACCCCTCACCTGGCGCCTGGGGCCTCTCCTAGATAAGGAATTCTGCTATTTACATAAGCAGTGTCAGCAAATAACAGTAACAATCATCTCCCATCTTGAATCCCATCACCCAGAGGAGATTTCTGGTAACAACTTGTTAAAATGTTTCCAATCATTTTTATATGTGTATGTGCTCGTATAAGTGTGCGAGGTGCAGACACATACACACGCAGACACAGACACACACATGCATGTGACACACACACACACACTCTCTCTCTGAGGAAAATGGATTCACATAATTTACATCACCCTGAACTGGCTTCTTTTGGGGACTCGTTGGGAGTGCGTGCATGTTGATATGCACAGCTCTGTGCCATTACTTGCAAAACCTGCAGGGTCCCGCCTGGGTGCCTGGCAAGCCCTGCCTGTCACCTGTTGATGTGACATGTCTGCCCCACTGTAAACAACAGCTGTGTACACACCACCGTGTGCTCTTGTCATCAGAAGGTTGTGGATAGGTTCCCAGGGAAATGTCAGGTCAGACAACATGTCTGTGTTTCAGATTTTGAGTCAAACGCATAAAGTCTGTACCAACCTCTGCCCCCAAACTGGGACGAGAGCACTGCTGTCCCTCAGGCCCCAGACCACAGTTCTCAGGAGCTCTCTCAGGGGCTGGCTCAGCCACGGCCACGTGGCCTCCCTTCTGTCTCCACTCTCCCACCGCCGTCCCCATAAAAAGGCCCCAACTTACATAAATCACACGGCTCGGAGACCCTGAGGTGCTGGAAGCAGGGACAGAAATGATGCTCTCTGAGGAAGCTCTGGTTTCCTAAGAAAGAGAGAGAAGAGACTGAGGCAGGTACCCACGCTCGGGGCCTCCAGAAGCGACTGTCAGAAGCCCCAGTCCAGCAGCCACGCTGGTGCACAGAGGTGTCTGTTTAAAGGGGGTTGAAGGAATTCTTAGCATAACAGGCTTGGATGAATAACTGAAAGGCTAGCATCAGACAGATGCAGGGAGCCACACAGGACCAGAGCGACATGCAGGCTAAGCCATTCTGCAGGGGGCCACACAGGACCAGAGCGACAC